GCTGCCTGCACAAGCTGCCGTTCAGAATGCTCACGCAGAAGCGCATCCTCCGGTGCGTTCGTCCTCTGGGTTGGTCTGCAGCATTAGACCTGATGGACGCGTATTTCCATGTCTCCACTCTTCCTCGCCACCGACAGTTTCTGCGGTTTGCGTTTGAAGGTCGAGCTTGGCAATACAAAGCCCTCCCCTTCGGGCTCTCTCTGTCTCCGCGGGTCCTCACCAAGCCCGCGGAGGGTGCCTCAGCGCCCCCTTCGGCTCGCGGGCATCTGCATACTCAATTTCTTTACGACTGGCTGATTTTGCCCTCTCTCGGAGCAGTTGATTATGCACAGAGACAAAGTGCTCTGGCACTTCCACCTGTGGGGGTTTCAGGTCAACCGAGAAAAGAGCAAACTCGCCCCCGTGCAGAGGATCTCTTCTCTCGGGCTGGAGCTGGACTCGGTCACCATGGCAGCGCGCCTCCCCGGAGAGCGCGCTCAGCTGATGCTGTACTGTCTGAGAGAGCTCGACAGTAAAATAGTGGTCCCACTGAAACTATTTCAGAGGCTCCTGGGGCATATGGCATCCGCAGCCGCTTCATGCCGCTCGGATTATTCTATATGAGACCACTTCAGCACTGGCTTCACGATCGAGTCCCCAGACGCGCATGGCACGCGCGCGCACACCGAGTCTCTGTTACTGCGCTGTGTCGCCGCGCCCTCAGCCCTTGGAGCGACCCCTCGTTCCTACAGGCCTGGGTGTCTCTAGAACAGGCGTCCAGTCTTGTTGTCGTTTCAGCAGACACTTCCAACACGGGCTGGGGGGCTGTGCGTTGCGGGCATGCGGCTGCGGACCTGTGGAAAGGTACCCAGTTGCATTGGCATATCGCCTGGAGCTGTTGGCAGTGTTCCTCGCTCTCCACCGTTTTTTTCCGGTGCTGGAGCGGCAACACGTGCTGGTCAGGACGGACAGTACGGCGGCGGTGGCGTATATCAGCCGTATAGGGGGTATGCGCTCTCGCCGCATGTCTCAGCTCGCCCGCCGTCTGCTCCTCTGGAGTCATCCGCGGCTGAAATCGCTGCACACCATTCATATTCAGGCAAGCTCAACCGTGCAGCCGATGCGCTCTCACGGCAGCCTTGCGTCCTGGAGAATGGAGACTCCACCCCGAGTCTGTTCAGCTGATATGGGCGCGATTCGGGGAAGCCCAGATCGTTCTGTTGCTTCCCCCGAGATCGCTCATTGCTAGTTGTTCTTTCCCTGACCGAGTGCTCTCGGCACGGATGCACTGGCTTACAGCTGGCCTCGGGGCACGCGCAAATACGCGTTTCCCCCAGTGAGCCTGCTCGCGCAGTTACTGTGCAAGGTCAGGAAGAGGACGAGGAACAGGTTGCTGGTTGCGCCCCTCTGGCTCAACCGGACCTGGATGTCAGAGCTCTCCCTCGCGATAGCCCTCCCCTGGCAGTCCCTTCGAGAGAGCACCTACTCTCTCAGGGACAGGGCACCACCTGGCACCCTCGCCGATCTTTGAAGAGATTTTTACGCGAGGAAGACTTAGGTAACCTCCGATTGCGGTGGCTAATACCGTCACTCGGGCTAGAGCCCCCTCCCCGAGCGCGCCTATGCCCTGACGTGGAGTCTATTCACTGAATGGTGTGTCTCTCGCTGAGAAGACCCCCGTAATTTGCCAGATCAGCGTTGTGCTTTCTTTACGCCGAGAGAAGTTGGAGAGCAGGCTGTCGCCCTCCACACTCAAGGTTACGTGGCTGCCATCTCCGCTCTCATAACGCGGTGGCAGGCAGCACCGTGGGAACGCATAACCTCATCATCCGGTTCCTCAGGGGCGTTAAGCGAATTAATCCACCCCGCCCCCTCTCATGCCCTCTTAGGATCTCGCCCTCGCTACACAAGCCGCGTCAGATCCCTTCGATCCTCGACTCAGTATCTTTCTGTCCCTGAAGACAGCTCTGCTGGTCGCGTTGATATCGATTAGAGGGTCGGGGACCCGGAGGCATTTTTCGGTCAGTGACTCGTGCCTGTAATTGGGCTGGCTTCTCTCACGTCCTGAGACCCCGCCCGCGATATGTGCCCAAGGTTCCTACCACTCCGTTTTAATACGAGGTAGTGAGCCTGCAAGCGCTGCCCTCGGAGGAGGCAGACCCAGCCCTTCTTTATTGTCCAGTTCGCGTTTGCGTATTATCCGGACCGCACTCAGAGTTTAGATCATCTGAGCAGCTCTTCGTCTGTTATAACGGTCGGCAGCAGGGAAGTGCCGTACCGAAATAAGTTCCCACTAGATTGTGGATGCCTTTCTTTCACTATCAGAGCCGAGATAAGCCGCGTCCCCCGAGAGCGCGTGCGCACTCCACTCGGAGTTTCGCATCCTCTCGAGCGCGCGCACGCGGCGCCCCTCTAACAGACTTCTGTAGAGCTGCGGGCTGGGTGACACCCAACACATTTGCAAGGTTTTACAATCTGCGAGTGGAGCCGGTTTCCTCAAGGGTATTAGGTAACCCTTGGTGATTGAGGAAACAATTCGGTAGGGTGTTGAAACACGCTTGCTGCGCCATTTTCCCTAACACGGAGATACGTGCGCCTTTTTATCTGTCAGTAAAGTTCCCCGTCAGGTGAGCCCTGCAGATTCCTCCGTGGCCCCCAGCACTGACTCAGCGGAGGAGTCACTTGCTGGCCCACTACGTTGTAGGTCTGCCCGCTGGTCAGCCCGCGTTTTGGGTAAAGGTGCCTGCTATGCGTGATCCCCACTAGGCGATCCCATATGCTTATTCCGCCACGGTTAAGTCCCCCCCCCGGGCGGACCCGTGTCTTCCCTCCCCGCTAACCACTCTTTTGCTATGCGTACTCCCCCTTTTTAGGGCTAGTCCATATGTAAATTCTGCCATCTATCCCCCCTTGGGTAACGGATGGCCTCCGCAGCGTCCTCCCTATCGGGATTGCACGCTTCCCAACGTACTGTCGTATTTCCTAGAATTATCTAGATGCTCACGACTTCCCAAAAAATATATCTAAATCCGTAAAACTTCTGTTGAAGTAGGATAAATTAGGGCCAGGGACACGTTGGAGGACCGCGCCCCCCCATGATGCGGGTGCGTCACGCTTGCTTGACTATCTCCTCATCGGGGGTGTTGGTAAGGTGCAGTCATTATGGCGCTTTCAATGGGCTCCCAATGCGTGGATTTTACAAATCAAATCCACTTATAGTGCTGAAGTTCCCCCCGAAGGGGAACGTTCGAGGTTACTAAAGTAACCCTTCGTTCCCCGAGGAGGGGAACGGAAGCACTATACTCCGTCGCCATAATGACTGTCCCTTAGCTGTTGAAAGTCTCTTCAGCTTAAAAAGGATAGCGTCTGCTGGCGCCAGGTGAGCTTATATACTCAGTTGATTGCTTATGCCGCTCACCTGCGCAGGCTTGCGCTGCCAATTCATTCTTAATTGGCCCGTTCAATACTCTTTCAGACGAGTAGCTTCTGAACCGAACCTCCCCAATGCGTGGATTTTACAAATCAAATCCACTTATAGTGCTTCCGTTCCCCTCCTCGGGGAACGAAGGGTTACTTTAGTAACCTCGAACGTTTCTTCATAACAAGTAAATTGCCTTATACAGAATGATCCTAAAAACAGTGTCAACATTACATGGATTATATATATTGTACCCTAGAAAAATAAATATACACTTGTATTTTGAGCACAGTGTAAGTACCAGAAGATCAATATGAGCTGATATGAGAACTAGTGCAAGACTGATTCTTGAAACAAGAAGCAAAAGAGAAAATCAACATCGTTTTTTTTTTTTTTTTTTGAGGTTTACCAAAATACATTTTCATAAACACTGAAACATATGATATTGATGTACTGACAGCATCTAAAATGTTAGTTAATAATGTACGAGTAACTTTACAGGCTTACAAATGAATCATTTTGAAACATATATATCATTTTAAAGAGTTATATTATTTCCATGAAATAGAGGATCCATCTTATTATCTTCATGATATAAATATTCTTAATACAAATTAGCTTCCTAATTTGTTGTTTTTTCTTGCTGTTAATATGTAACAATGTTTATTTTAAACACTTCAATACTTTAAAATTGTATGTTTCAGCGTCTGTCAAATGTAGTCGTACATAAATGCTGTGGTAAAAGAAAATTTGCTGTTAATTTAGATACCCGCCAATAATATATATATATATATATATATATATATATATATAAATACATAGAGAGAGAGAGAGAGAGAGAGAGAGAACATTTTATTTATACATTTCTGTCTGGTTCTTGAATCTGATTGGTTGATAGCCGTGCAATATTCTGCCAGTAACAGCATTCTACCATCTCTTCACCCTTCTGTATTACTCTGCCCAGATACAGCAATAGGCAAAGGACACTCTACAGTTTGACAAATATTCCTGCTGTTGGGCAACATAATGTACTTTTGATGCTTTTTTAGGCAAGAATGTAGTTGTTTAGATTGCAACTATGTAGTTTATTGATAAGGGTAGTGCCTATTTTAAATATTTATAATTTCTGAGAGACAGCGCATTGGTGGCCATTAGCTTGCTATACTGAACGAACCAAAGACAGTTAACGTTGTCTATTCACAAGATGGCGACAGGACAGAATGTCATGAATGTCAATGGTACTATCAGCACTATCAGGCCATGTCCACACTAATACGTTTTTGTTTAAAACTGCATATTTTTCTCCTCATTTTAATGTCATTGTTAGGAAACGAAAACATATCTTTTTGAAAACGCTGTCTAAAGGGATATATCTGAAAACACCATTTTGTGTGGACTGTGAAAACTGAGCATTTTGAAAACAATGACACATTTTAGTCATGTGATTTAGTCATGCGACCAATTCAACACGTGGATTGCATTGCAAAGCGGATGTTTTAAATGCTGTTAATTTTGACAGCTTTATTACAGTTTAATGATGAAAAAAAAAAAAAAAAAAAAAAAAATATATATATATATATATATATATATATATATAGTAGGAGAGTTTTTATTTGTTTGCTTTTCCTCTTATCTTTTTATATAATAAATATATAAATAAATTAACAGCAAACTTTTAGGGGAACTATACCTTTGAGACAAACACACTTTTTATGTATTGTGCTTTTATTTTTGTCACAACTTAAGATGATTTTTCTGCCACATAAACTATGAAGTAAATGCTTATATTTTTTTATTTTATTCATTTTAAATGATTCAAATTAAAAGTAAAAAAAAACAAATTATAAATACAAAATTAAATAAAAACTATTATACAATAAATAGCATTAAAATCAATTTGACACATCTAGTTGCGTCATTAATTTACTGAAGATTTGTTAATGATTTAAACATAGTACACATCATTTTTTCTATATCACATGGTATTAATGCGAAATGAATTATAGGCAAGTAAAAGCACTCAAGAATCAGCAATAAATTATGGAAAACAGATCCTAACATTGGCATAAAAGCCCACAGAAACATTTAGTCTATTTGGATTTTGTTCTTTGATTGGAATCCACTTTGAAGAGGTAAAGAGCAATTAATTGCACATTACAGTACAAAGCACTGATTAAAAATAGACTCTTTAATGAACATTAACACACATACACACACACACACACACACACACACGCACACGCACACACACACGCACACACACACACACACACACACACACCCCACACACCCATACATGCATACACAGAAAAAGCACTCAATCTGAGAGAGATTTAGACAGAAAAAAAGAAGAGTAGAAGTGAGCGAAGGTGGACTTGATGTAGAGACTCTTGCTTTGCCGGAAAATGAGAAGAGAAACTCTGAAAAAGAATAACAGAAAAAGTCAGAGGTCAGAAAGCATGCGAACAGCATTTATGAAGGACAAAATTCTGCTATTTGACCTGAATAAAGATACAGGAAACTTTAGAAATATTAAGTGGCCTGGAAGCCAATTGTACATTTTATTATCATCCTGAGGTTTGGGCATGTAAATTATGATTAGTGGTCAGACTTAAAGTTTTAATTATGTGCAAGCCTGAGTTTGGAACAGAAGTGGTTCATTAATCACCAAACTAGGCGATCCATAAAAGGCCATAGCTCATCTCTTTCATCTCAAATTACCCTTATTCACACTGCAAACAAGAAACCTTTAAGTAAATGAGAGTTACTGAAGCATTATTCCCTGTCACTGTATGCTTGTTGTCCAACATCACACATGAGTTTCAACTTTTATGGTATAGTTCAGTGGTTCTCAACCATGTTCCTGGAGGACCAATAACACTGCATGTTTTGTATGTCTCCTTTGTCTGTCACACCCATTACAGGTCTCTTGATATCTGCTAATGAGCTAAATCAGGTGTGTGTGGTTAGGAGACAAGGAAAATTTGAAGAGCTGGTGGTCCTTCAGGAACATGGTTGAGACCCACAGGTATAGTTGACCTGTTTGCCAGCACTCAGTTTTGGGGATTTACACCTACCTAGCTTAAAAAAGAACAACAGATTTTGACCCAGTGAGCTATAAACATAGGTATCATTAGAAAGAAGAGACTTTGAGCTTTACTATGGTCCATGTAGAAAGTTTCATGCTAAAAAAAAATATGAAAGGTTGTAAATTATGAAGTAACGAGAAAGAAAAAGGCTGAGAAGTTAAAATAAAAGAATACTTATGTTATACTTTATATACTCATAAAGTCTATATATTTAATCTTTTTAGGAAAATGATCTTTTTAGGCATTTTACAACACTCTTAAAAGTTAAACAGTTGAGTATCTCCATTTTTGAAATTAAACCAAATTTAGGTAAAAACCCAAACAATAATAATGGAATGACACGAGATGAATGTACTAAACTACTGAAACGTATTTAATACTTCATATAACTTCATATAAAAGGCCTTTTTTTCTGGTGATGGCAGCTTAAAGACGCCACGGTCATACACTAAAAACAGAGCGGCACCTATTTCAAACGGCGGCGGTACATGCTGCGGCGTTAATAACCACTTTGAACTCTCACCTACTGTATGTGGAGAATGAAGTCACATGAATTGCTCAGTTGTTAGTTTTTCACAGACTCAACAGTGTAAAAATCTTGATGGTTCTGTGGGTCTCGTCTATCAAATCTGATCTTTAATTTGGATTCTCTAATTGGATTCAAGTCAGGTGATTGGCTGGGCCATTCTACAGCTTGATTTTCTTTCACTGAAAGCACTTAAGAGTTTTCTAGGTTATGTTTTGGATCATTGTCTTCCTTGTCTACCTTTGTTTCATTTTTATCCTCCTGATAATGTAGATATTGGACAGAAACAGTGAAAATTAATTTAATTGAAAATTATTTAATGACGAAGGGCAGAGGGTTGCTGAAGAACTACTGAGAGATTTCAGCTGCTGTCTGGGCTTTCACTCCCTTTCTATACCTTTCTTTCTATGTTTCAATGTTTCAGTGTTCAATACTTTTTTCCTGTGTCATTTCATTTTATTACACAAAACTAAATTTGTAAACTAATTAGATTAGTTTTCTTTTCATTTATGGATTTCTTTGGTTGTTACCAACATTTGGTGAAAATTTCAAGTCAACAGCATCTTTAGAAATACGTTTTCTGATAAAAATGGTGACAAGTTGAATATTATTAGAATATTATTAGATACAATTATATATATATATATTTTTATTATTATTAAAATCAGTGGATAGGTTTGCCCATATTTTACCCAATGTTGGGTTATGCATTCAAATGTGTGCACTGAACTTCATTTTTTTTTACTTCTTTTTACCAAAAGAAAACAGGGGAGGACTTTGAAATGCACTTTAAAAGAAAAAAAAAAAGAAAAAACAGGTCAGTGAAAGAAAACTCATCTGATTTCTTTTATAAAGCATGTAAAAGCAAGCCTTGTTTGTGTGACTTTTTAAAAATACATGACTTGTCGTCATCAGCAGTCGCAGTCCATCTGTCCAAATGGATATCAACGATTCACTAAGCAACTAACAAATGTGAATGAATCAGCTATTACATAACTTGGTCTTAGCGTCGTCAGTCACTGCTTGAAAACGTCACTAATCCCGCTGTCAGCTCAAACAGCTGGATTTACACCCCGCATCCTCTAAAGTGCTCCATTTCAGCCTCTGTCCTCTGGGTCTTTTTTTCCCTCAGACTCATTTCACCCACAGAGCCCGAGGCTTCCAGGTCACGTCAGCAGGGTCTGAACAGTAAGTTTGATCTGAAATGACCTGTCTCTGGCCGTCTGGGTCTGCAGGGCTGATCTGAGGCCAGGGTTGACACACACGACAACTCACAACCCAACAATAAAATGAGAGTGAAGGGCACTGAAGCCTTTTGATCTGCTTCTCTACCTGCCTTCAGCTCTCCAGCCAAGTAGAGCACATTCACATCCACACACACACACACACACACACGTACGCATGCATGCACGCAAATAAGGCCAATAAAAGAACATAAAAAAGAATAGACAGAAAATAAAGGTATTTTCTCTTTATATTTATTTATTGTTATTAGTTTGAAAATGTCCGCATACCTGATGCAAGCAAAGATGTTTGGAAAAATCCAACCTATTTCAGGATGCATTTGCTGAATTTTTTTTTATTGTTGTTAAACTTGTAAACAAATAAATGGGATATGGCAATTTATGAAATGTTTCCTTCTTAATATTTTTTTATTAATCTTGTGATTGCAAAACATAATTTCCACATTTTTTTTTGTTTATTTTTTGTTTCTAAGGTTCTAAGGTTGTTTATAAGGTTACATCTAACATTTTTGTCAAAACTGAGTTATTCACATGTTCTTATTTGTTATTCGGATTTTCTTATTTGTGATATTTTTTTTAAGTTGTTTATATTTTAAGTCTTTTTATTTAAAAGCAAAAAAGGTTTTATCCAAAAGGTCAAACTCTAGCTTGAGTACCTCGCGCTCGAGGACCAATTAGGATCAGCTTTCTTTGTTATTCCAACAGACATTTTTCAGTGTTTAATAAACCTTGTTAAACAACTTCTCAATTTCTCACTGTCTGTTTTCTTTTAAAGTCTTTAAATTAATTAACGGGGTCTTAAAACAATAAATATTACCCTATTAATAACATATAATTAACAACTGCACTGTCCAAAATACAGTATTTGCCAATGCCTTGTATGCTTAATTTGAATATATATATATATATATATATATATATATACCCATATTCACTAAGAAATTGATAAAAATGTATTTTCCGAAATTGGGTGTCCTCGATTATGCTGAGCACTGTACCTTTAAACTAAGGTAATCCTGATTTTTTTCTGATGTACATTCATTTCACCATGAGGGACTTCATTCCAATTCCCTTCACAATATGCGCTATTTTAATGCCACATAAATGTTTGCGTTCTCATAATTGTTGTTGCCACACTCTGTGATTTGCAATATTATTTCAAAAACAGTCAGATACGTGTGACTAAGCGTCTCATATGAATTGCTGTAATATCAAGAACAACAACAAAATAAATGTCAAGCGATGATTGTGTGGAGGAGAGGCGGAGGTTTTTAATGTGTGTGTGTGTGAATCAGGATGAAATAACGAGCGGGAGCAGCAGACAGAGAAGTGACAGATGAGCATTATGTGAACGTCTGACAGAAAGGGCTCTGAAACGTCCATCAGTTCTGATGTCACTGTCGCCTCTGTGTGGGAGTCTTGGCTGAGGACATGAAACAGAGACAGAGCGGGAGTGAGCAGGCCAGTAAGGATGCTTATTTTAGTGCATTTTGCCTCGTGGAGACTTTTGGAAAAGCGGCAAACCAGACCAGACTCCAGAGTTGTGCTTCAGTGAAGAGGAACTAAAATGCTGATGTTTGAAAATGGTGTGGCTGCTCACATTTCCTCTCTGTTTGGCTCATCTGCATCAGTGCATCTCCATCCCATGTTTTGTTGCACATTTCAGATGACATGCCCACTAGAGGGTGTTGTCAACATTTTTGTGAATCTGAAATTTGTTACTTGAGATACATTTAGCTGTACATTTCAGATACAATATCATTACCTAGTGAACTAGTGACCTAAAACCAACTCATAGTGTCTTCAAAAGCAAGCATGAGAGAAAAATTATGATTCACCAAACTTGAAACCAAACTCTGCATCACAACTACAACACTGTACACAATGAACTACCAAGCAAACTGACCACACCAGAAAAGTAGTCCATTTTTAGATAGACAGACATGTTAAGTTATTTGTTTGATGTTGTGCAAGAACTGCATGCAAAAGTCTGTGAAATACTCGTTATTCATTCTACTGCTTCCATTTACCTAGACACTGCAGTCAAACTTATGCTGAAGTACATTTTTTGTGGTAATAGAACGTATTTTCAATGAGCCTGTGTTGAACATTCCTCCTGTAAAACAACACACCAACAAATCCAGGAAATCTGTACAGACCCCCTCCCCATAGAACAAGTCAGCAAAGATTTACAATTGCCTAATTTGACTGGAATGTGAGGCTTTCTTTATACGCCATTCTAATAAGTGTTTTATGTATTATTTATAAAAAATGGAAGGATGATTTTTTCTCAAAATTACTTATATTTTAATTAAATTATATTTTTTTTATATTCTCAAACTTCTATCTTGTTCCGTTCTGAATACAGGTAATATTTAAAGTAGGGTGATAAATTTGTATCGGTATTTATTGGCCAAACACTATTGTCAATATTGATAATAAAAAAAAGTTTGGTATGAAGTTTCTGTTTGAAGACTATAGTTTTATTAAATGTGGTTGCTTAGCGCGTGCCTTGGAAACAATGGCAATAAGCTTAGGGTGTTAGTTTGTCACTTGCATGA